TCCACTTCAGCCTGGGCAACAGTGTGAGACTCCTACTCAGGAAAAAAAAATCATTATGCAATTCATTTAATTACCAGTGAAACTCGAGTGTTAGAGTTTCAAATGCTTTCACTGCATTAGGAGACTGACTGTTCATGGGCTCCAGTTCCAGACCCTACGAAAGTGCTGAACTTCTTACTGGCTGTCTCCACCAAGATTAACCTGAGTCTGTGCCAGCAATCCGTCACAGGGCAAACTACCAAGAGCCCAGGAAATGAGCCGCGTGTGAGGGGCAGTGGTAAGGTAGGACACTGCTTGCTCGGCCTAAGGCAGGACAGCGGGTGGGTACCTGAGAAAGGGACTGCTGAAAGCGCGAACCAGAGTTGTTTTGTAGAGGAAAGGAGAGCAGACTGCTTTTGCTGCCTGGGTGCTCCTCACCAGGGTTTGTTTGAACTTCTTTCCTGAGCTCCTTGGGGCTGTCAGGATGGCAGCAGCCGTCCTGCCTCAAGCATGGCCTGCAGAAGAGCAAGTGGTGGTGGGGAAAACGACCCAGGGGCCACATACCAAAACGCTTGAGAACAGATTTCATTTTTTTTGAGCCAGAGTCTCACTGTCGCCCAGGCTGGAGTGCAGTGGCAGGCTCATGGCCGCTGCAGCCTCGACCTGCTGGGCTCAGGCGATCCTTCTGCCTCAGCCTTCCAAGTAGCTGGAACAACAAGCTCACGCCACCACACCCGGTTAATGTTTTGATTTATTGTAGAGACAAGGTCTCTCCAAATTGCCCAGGCTGGTCTCGAACCCCTAGGCTTGGGCAATCCTTTTGCCTTCACCTCCCAAAGTGCTGGAATTATAGGAGTGAGCCACTGTGCCTGGTGAGAACAGATTTTAAAAGAAAAATAAGATGCTACAAGACAGACTCCAAAAAGAAGAGAAACAGTAAGACAGAGTTAGAAAGACGATAACAGTATGAAAAGAAAACCAGAAATATTAGATGTGAAAAATGTAACTCCTGAAATAAATGGCGTAATTGATGGGACAAGCCATAGAATGACTACAACGTAAAAATCAATTAGTAAACTGGAAGACCAGCTTAAAGAAATCTGTAGGGACAAAAGGGAAAAGAAATATAAAAAATAAAAGCTAAGAGATACAGGAATTGTATTAGTAATGCTAGCTTCTGGATAAAGGAAATTCCACAAAGAGAAACAAAAATGGAAGAGAGGAAATATTAGCAGAAATAACAGGGATAACTTTCTTAGAAAGAAAAGGCCCACAGAGTGCTAAAAAGGAGAAATAAGAAAAACAAAAACAAAAACAAAAACAAAAACCCACATCCAGACTTAGCGCACTAAGCCTGGAAATACCTGGGAGAAAATTAAGTCAAGTTTCCTGACAAGGAACAAGAACCAGATTGATACCAGATTATATACATAAAACAATGAACACACCAAAAAATGGAGCAGTGTTTTGAAGTACTGAAGAACTTAGAACCCAGAACTGCAGAGCAGCCAAAATGAATTCAAATATACAAGCAGGATAAACATATTTTGATATTTGGAATTAAAAACTACTTAGCTTTTTAGTGTTATACTAAAATTGTGATTATGTATTTTTATTTTTTAGTTTTGAGTCGTAGTCTCACTCTATTGCCCAGGTTGGAGTGCTGTGGCACACTCACAGCCATTGCAGCCTCAACCTGCTGGGATCAGGCAATCTCTCCGCCTCAGCCTTCCAAGTAGCTGAAATCACAGGTGCATGCCACCACTGTCTAATGTTTTAATTTATTGTAGAGACGAGGTCTCGTCAAGTTGCCCAGGCTGGTGTTGAACCCCTGGACTCAGGCAATCCTCCTACCTCGGTCTCCCAAAGTGCTGGGATTATAAGCTTGAGCCACCATGCCTGGCCAAAGTTTCTGATACATTAATGGGAGAGTAAGCAGATTAAATTAGACTAACTCTCTTGCAGATAATTATGAACCCTGGACAAAAGCATTAAAAAATCTATTTGAAGGCACTGAGAAACAAATGAAAGTTAGTAGAAACCAGAGGGGTCAGCCCTCAATGGTAAGACAGGGATATATCAATTTTGTACAAAGTGACTGACATTCAATGCAATTCCAATCAAGATCCTCAATTCTCAACTAGGACTGAACTTGTTTATTCTAAAATTTATATTTAAAATGTCGAGACCTGGAATAGCCAAAATAATCTTAAAAAGAACTAAGTAGAAAAACTCACCCTACTCCATTTCAAAATTTACTATCAAGCTACAATAAAGTGTGATATTGGCATTAGCACAAATATAACAATGGAACGAAACAGAGTCCAGAAACAGACCCACACACATATGACACGGTCAGTTGCAGAAACAGAACAATTCATTGGGGAGTACTTTTTCAACAAATGATGCTGCAACTGGAAAAATATATGGAAAGAAAACAAAACTTGGCCCACACATCACACTACAACTGAAACAGATAACAGACCTAACTGTAGAAATGAAAACTATAGTATCTAAGAAAACATAAGAGGAAATCTTCACAACCCTTGGAGTAGGTAAGCAGAATGAGTCTATCTTGGAGCAGACCTGGAGACCAGATGGGGTGGGGAAATTGGGGGTAGTAAATGGTTAAGAAATATTACTATCCCGAGTCTAGTTGTCGTTTTGATGAGGTTCCATGTTCTTATTACACTATGAAAAATGTGTGCATAGATCAGTCTGTCATGAACTAAGGATTATGATTATTCCAATTCTTTATGCCTGAGATCCTAAATAGTGTCTTTTTAATCCTATTAGAATTTTTTTTGTCTGTTAGTCAGAGTCACTCTGTCACCCAGGGGCACGCTCATGGCCACTGTAGCCTCGACCTGCTGGGCTCAGGTAATTCTCTCACTCCTGTCTCCCAAAGTGCTGGGGTTACAGGCGTGAACTGCCGTGCCCGGCCTTTTGAGAGTATTTTTTAATTGTCTAACCACACTTACACATTTAGGAATAATATTATAAAACATTTCAATTAGCTACAATTTTGTCCAAATTTATTAAATTCATACATTTTCTAATCACTATTTGATGTTTGCAGAAAAGAGGAATGTGTGAGCTGAAATTCCACCATGACCTCCCAAATGTAGAGGCAAAAAAATGTGTTTTTTTTTTTTTAGTTGGGATGTCACTTTTGTCACCCAGGCTGGAGTGCAGTGGCATGATCATGGTCACAGCTCATTGCAATCTTGAGCTCCTGGGCATAGATGATCCTTCTGCCTAGCATTCTGGGTAGCTGGGACTACAGCCAAGTGACACCATGCCCGGCTTTTTTTTTTTTTTTTTTTTTTAACATGAGATCTCGCTATGGTCGCCTAGACTGGTCTGGAACTCCCTGGACTAGAGCATTCCTCCCATGTTGGCCTCCCAAAGCATTGGGATTACAGGCATGAGTCACTGTGCCTGGCACAAAATGTAATTTCTCAAGACTTAAGATGGTAATGGTTGGTGGAATTTCATGAGTAAGCATGGTTAGACAAGATAGAAAATAGAGCAACAATGGTTCCAATCATTATATTCCTAATGTTAACCTTTGATCAAGCTAAAGAACCATCAATAACTTGGGGAGAGAAAATACACACCAACAATTTATGAGCCAAATTTCCATATTGGCTATTTATTGCTACATAACAAACTACTCCACAACTTTGTGACTCACAACAGTATATATCTCTCTGTATCCATGGGTCAGTAATTCATGAGCCCTTTTGGTTAGTTCTGGCTCAGGTCTCTTGTGTTGAAGCCAGATGTTGCCTGGGACTGGAGCTAAAGGACCATCCCCTTATGTGGCTGGACAGCCAGTGTAAACAGGATGGTGCCTGTCCCTCCCTGTGGAAGGCTGCTTAAACCTCCTTACCACGTGGTTGTGGCTTACCCCAGAACAAGCAATCCAAGTAATTAAGGATGAAGCTGCAACATCTCAGGACCCAGACTCAGAAGTCACACATTTTTTCTGCAGTATTTTATTGATCACACAAACAGCCTTGTTGCATTGTGGCTGGGTACTATACAAGGGCTGAAAGGTTAGCCGATGTATAAAATAACTCAGAAGGAAGGCCTTAACAACAACAAAAATTGAGAAATTCGTATTTTGCAAGTGGGTAGATTAAAAACTTGGGAAGAAGGTAGGACTTATCTGCTGAAGTGAACATGCATGACCAGTCAGAACCACACATGTAGGACACATGGAGGCACAATTCTGTCCCACCTAATACAGGCAAGCACTGCCCTCCCACTGCAGTGGTAAGCTCTTAAGAGGAATACTGAGTCCATTTCTGGGAACCAAGTATTGATTACAGTTTTGATGCAGCTTGAGATGGCAGACCTAGGACTGCAGAAATGAGGGTTAACATTTTACTTAATGCAGAGGGTGGCTAACAAGATTTAGTAATCCCCTCGAAGGTTTCAGTTCACAGGTAATCATCTGATGTTTGGTTAGAAAGCAGACAACCAAGCTTTTTTAGAAATGTATTATAAGAAAAAGGAACCACAAGGAAACTTGTGGAGTTTAAGATGCTTTTTTTTTTTTTGAGCCAGAGTCTCACTGTTGCCCAGGCTAGTGTGCAGTGGCATGCTCACGACCACTGCAGTCTCGGCCTGCTGGACTCAGGCGATTCTTCTGCCTCAGTCTTTCAGTAGCTAGAACTACAGGCATGCACCACAATGCCTGGCTAATTTTATGATTTATTGTACAGATGAGGTCTCACCATGTTGCTCAGGCTGGTCTCGAACCCCTGACCTCAAGGCAATCCTCTCACCTCGGCCTCCCAAAGTGCTGGGATTACAGGCATGAGCCACTGTGCCCTGCTTAAGCTGCTTGGTTTCTGGTAGATTTTGATGATTCACACAGGTGGTGTTGTGGGATGGGCTGAGCTCTGGGAGGCAGGTGCTTTGTTGTTCCCTGCACACACACATTTTTGTGCAACGTGTCAGTCTAAAGAGCCTGTATCTTTAACACAAAACACAACCATCAATGACTTAGATCCAGTTAAGAGGCAATGTTTTATTTTTTAAAAAAGTGATTTCTAAAATCCCACATGACTAGTAACCTGCACGTAAGCAGAGTAAGGTGTGATACAATCAGTGGTGGAAGAGCCGCAGGTGTGTATGGGCGAGGATGATTCCCAGTTCGTCGCAGGCCTCAATCACAACTTTGTCGGCAGCAGACCCGGAAGGAGCCGCAATGTATGCCACGCCACTCTGAGGGAAGAACAGACACTGATTCTCAAAACAGTTTTATGCAAAAACCTGCAAGGATCAAACTTCGTCTATCCCTGACCGCCCGAAAAGCATAAGCCAAAAACGTGATTCACTCAGTCAAAAAAAGGCAAAATAATAGGATTTGGGCAATCCATACATCTAATGGAGAAGTCAAGAGATTCCCTGAGTATTACTGATCACATTGCAAAACGTTTTAAAAATCCAGGATTTCTGAAACAGCTTCCACATTATGCTCAACTCTATGCAAATACACTCAATTCCATACTTACCCTCTTAGCTCTGTCTACATTATCCCTGAAAGGAAAGAAGGCATCAGAGCTGATGGAAACTTCACTTAGTTTGCTAACCCATTCCTTCTTCTCTGCCTCAGTTAATAATTCAGGAACTTCTTCAAACAGTGCCTTCCACTTTATCAAGTCTTCATCCTATAGTGGGTGGGACAGGGAAGGAGGAAGGTTAGTCTGATGCCATCTTTGGCTTTCTCTGATGCAAATTACCATGCCAGACAGCACTTGGGCACTTTTCCTAGGACTTCTTAACTGTAAATAATGACTCTTATTTACATAAAAGTTCATTATTTCTAGAATCTCAACGCTTTTAAAAATATTTTCATAAAGAAGAAAAGTGATTCTAAGTTTACTAACAGGGATGATAGCATTTTATCGAATCACTGTGTGTGTGTGTGTGTGTGTGTGTGTGTGTGTGGTGTGTGTACACACCATTTTTAAAATTTTTGGCTAAGCTACTTCTTACATAAACTGTTTTAAAATCTCTAATTTAAATCTACTACTTTACATCACTGTATCAAAGCAGGCAAACAGAAAATTGTATTTCAAACGGTTTTCACAGGGATCCTCCACATATCAACCTAGGAAAGAGAAGATGAATGTTCTAGAACTACATTTATACTATTAATCTCAAATGTAAAATCAGTTGCAGACATATCAAGACACGATTCATAGTATGTGTAATGATTTGAATGTTTATGGCTACTCCAAAATTCATGGTGAAACCTAATCCCCAATACAACAGTATTAAGAGGTGGGGCCTTTAGAAGGTTATGAGGCCATGGAGGCAGGGCCCTCATAAATGAGTGTCTTCTATAGGGGCTCGAGGAAGTGAGTTTTCTCCTTCTGTTCCTTCTGCCATGTGAGGACACTATGCTCATCCTCTCCAGAGAATGCAACAACAGGTGCCATCTTGGGAGCAGAGATTAGGCCACACCAGACACTGAGTCAGCTGGCACCTTGATCTGGGACTTCCCAGCCTCCAGAATGGGTGCGAAGTACATTTCTATTGCTTATAAGTTACCTGTTATGCAGTAGTCTGATATAGCAGCACAAACAGACTAAGACAGCTAATCCTATTTTAAAAAGTGCTTCCATTTTGGATGATGTTTTGGTTCTGACTTACTTTTATTCTTATTCACACATAGGCTCTTCCATGACTATTAGGAGTTGATCGATATTATCAAACAGAAAAAACCAAGTATTAAAAAAAAAGATGTTTTAAGCACTTCATGGTTACAAGGCGCACTCTGCAGGCCTACTCTTCAATGATTCTTCTGTTGATTCCTGTTCCTGAATAAACAACTGAGAACGGTCCATTTGTTCTTTAGAAAACCATCTTAGTTTTGATTATCAGACTTTTCTCTTCCATCCAGCATTCTGTTAAATACTTGGCACGTCCAGAAACTGGGCTAGATTTTTTCTTTTGGCAGGTTACCTACCATTTGCAATTTTAACACTTCCACATACGTCCTTCAAACAGAAGACATTAAAGAACATAAAATGTAACAAAACATATTGAGTTGTTCATGGCACTTGTAGAAAATGTGGTGGAAGAATACACTGGCCACCTGCCATCAGGTAACCTGTATTTAATACTGAAAACACACTTATCATGTAGCAAGCATCATGTCTGACACTGTGATAGACACTTCAACACAAGTGAAAAGTAGTTCTTGTCACCAAAAGCTTATAATCAGCAGGGGAAGTCTAAATATACAAAACTAAACCAATGATTATAACTTAAAAAAGACAGAGAAGGTTTGTGATTTAAGAAAGGGGTCAAAAACAACGAACAAAGTTAAATGAGACAGAAGAAAATGGGAAATTGGTAAGAAGTGTCAATGAACAATTTTAGACAACAGAGAATTTCAAGGAAAATACCCCCTTCTCTCTGTAGAGCTGAAGTTAAAGTGTGTTACACAAAAAGGGGTGAAATGAATATTAACACAGGCCACCAAGAACCCAGTCACCAGTCTTTTACCTCGCCGATGGTTCCAGTCACATATTGATCGATGGCATTGGAGATTTCTGCTCTCTTCACACCTGCTTTAAACTTCATTGAAAGCACTTGTGGATGGTGTCTAAGCCACCAAAAGTTTGCCTTGTCCCCTGCAAGGCGTGTGCAGTGTATCCGAGACTGCTGTCCTGCTCCAATGCCAATAACCTGAGGAACACAGACATCAAAATGGATATCTCTTCCAACAACACTCTCTTCTCAAAGACCTGCTGTGCATTCTCCGAATCTATCTAACAATGTCGTAAAAGAACACATCAGGGCAAAATAAACACAAGTAAGTTTTAAGTCATTAAAAGGGTGGCATAAAAGACTTATAACTACTACTTATACCTTTACCTCTTTGGTGATACCCGACATAGGGCAATTCATAGTCTAGCAGAGTCTAGAACTCAGTAACATTATATTATTGATGGTTTGAGGGGGAAAAAAAGTATGGAAATAAATGACCAGTAAGATAACTATGGTGGTGGGGGGCACACCTCATCAACAAGGGTACCTGCATAATAACCATTTATATGCCTGACCCTGAATTGTACCCTACATTTTTAAAATTTAAAAAAGGTAACTATGGTTATTTGAAAGCCTTTGTTTGCCTCAGTTTATAAATTACAGTTAAAACACTCACAAAAATGGAGATAAGGATCTGACAAGGCACCCTAAAACTATAACTATGCCACCAGATAAGAAAGTTCTACCTTCCTTCCTCTGTTTCTATGGGTTGAATTCCAAGCACCAATGACTTTAATGCACAGGTGTGCCTTTTGGTTTTAGTTTCTATAAGGAACACCTCCCACCTGTTGTCTGCCCATGGGTCTGCTCCTTTCTTCTTTTATTTTATTTTCTTTAAAAGTGTGGGGTACAATTCAGGGTTAGGTATATGAATGGTCATTTTGCAGGTACCCTGGCAAGTTTTCCACTACTGCCAATCTCTTTCTTATAGTATTTTATGATAATTGTTCAAGGTCCACTTATGAGTGAGAACATGTGGTACTCAGTTCTTTGTTCCTGTGATAGATCACTCAGTATTATAGACTCTAAGTCCATCCAAGTTGCTGTGAAATTCATAATTTTGTTCTTCTTTATGGCTACATGCTTATTCCTTTCTAAGTGCTGCTGCTAATGGCCCTGCCCACAGCTACAAGAGAATAAGAGACTACAAACACCCACCAGTATGCTTCTCCTAGACATCGGGTACTGGTTGGAGCTTACTAGAGACTAAGCCCAAGGACACCAGTAGCCACAATCGCCTAGGATTTTGTTACCGCAGAGACTGGCAATCCTGAGACTTTCAGTTTACATGCTAATTAATTTCCATATGCTTCTCCAAGTCCCCACTGCAGACCAAATAATTTAACAAGTGCCAAGAGACATGTTCAAGACACTGTGAGAAGAAAATCTTTCAATACTGCTGAAGCTTCGACAAAACCAAGTTCCCCCGGAGTTAGGAGAGACCTCAGGGATGAACTAGCTCAGTCCCATGGTGCAGTGTACTGCAGAAGTTCAAAATCTTGCTTAATACCGCATAGAGGAATGTTCAATATCTTATTACAGTAGTGGTCACACACTGAATAATTTGTGAAAACTGGTCAAACTGGATGTTTTAAAAGGTTGAATCTTACTGTATACAAATTATGCCTCAATGAATCTGATTTTAAAAGATCAGGCTAACTCCTCCCTAGCAGACTTTTTTACTCACTGGATTCTTGATAGGACTGTAAGAAACGTGTGAAAATACCCTGCAAGCTGCAAAAACAGACTGGTGGGTGGCAGTAGCATTCCTTACTAGAAGGATCTTCACAGGAAATACAGTCAATGGGGAAAAGGGAGAGTGAATAAACCAGTTTTGTAGCAGCTATGAGAGTCCCACTAATCCAAAACGTGCCAACTTACTGTAGGCAAGAAACAGCATGACTAACGTTGGCACTTGGTTCCTAAGATGCTTTGTGATCATCATTAGTTTTAACAGTCCACCAAGGGTCAGGAAACAATGACAAACCCAGAAGACAAACACTTGGCAAATTTTCCCTTTCAAGCTGTCCAACACCTGAGGCAGATGGATTTTTGAATATCATTTTGTAAAACAACAGTCCCCCTGGTAAGTTGACAGCCCGGTTACCTGCCCATTCTTGGCATAGCACACGGAGTTAGATTGAGTATACTTGACAGCAATGGTGGCTACGATGAGGTCTCGGAGGGCAGACTCCGGCAACTGAAACAGATACACAGGGTAAATCGCGGGGGCCTTTTAAACTTCATTTAGCTTTTAGCTCCTTAGTGACATTTAATATAAAAGACCTACAGCATAGCTACAGCTCTGAAATGACAGACTGAGAAATTAACTGTTCATGCTACATACTACCACGATTTATTCAAATATCAAATATTTAAATATTTATGGAAGAATTAGCACAACGCTTAATGCATCATAGAATCAAACTAATGCCATTTTACAGCAAAATTTTAGATTAGGCCTGTGTATATCACATAAGCATGAAATACTATAGCCATTCCAAAACTGACTAATATTTTCTTGATCAGACTACTTTTAAATATCTGGAGACATGACAAAATATATGTTCAGAATCAACATAGAGACTAATTTTCAGAGACATTACAAATCCCCGTGATACACACACAGCCAAGACTGTTCAGGGAAAATCAACTTAGGATCATGATCTCCTTTGTCTAGAATATTCTAAGTAGAAACTATTAAAAAATCATTGTGAACTACCAGTCCAAGTACAACAACAAATAAAATAGCTAAAAATGTCACTATCTTTAATATAAAGCATGGATACTAATCGAAAAGAAGGACAATCATCCATGCTGACATGCTAAATGGACAAAGGATATTAGCTGCAGCTAACTGATAAAATGAAATATTTGACTTCAACAAGATTAAAAATGTCTACTCTGCAAAAGAATCCTTGCTAAGAAGATGAAAAGACAAGCTACAGACAGGTAACAAGTATGTGCCAACCACATAGCCAACAAATTAGTACCTAAAAATGAAAATGTCTCAAGACTCAGTAACAAAAAAAATCAATTAGAAAATGGGCAAAAGACATAGACATCTCACCAAAACTGATATACAGATGGCAAATAAGCACACGAAAAAATGTTCAACATCATGAGCCATTAGGAAATGCAAATCAAATTAAAATCAGTGAGATAATGCTACACACCTATCAGCATGTCTAAAAAGGGCAACAATACCAAGGCTGGTGGGAATGTAGAATGGTACAAACATAGTTTGGCAGTTTCTTAAAAGAACTAAACATGCAACTACCCATACCACAAAGCAATGAACAACCCTGAGCATTTGCCCCAGAGAAATGAAAATTTATGTTCACATCAAAGCCTTGTGTACATGAATGTACAACTAGTGAAAATTATAGAAAGGGAGAACAGATTAGTGGCTGTCCAAGATTAAGGGGTAAGAGGCAGTAGGACCTGTATCTGGCTATAGAAGAACATGGGGAATCACAGCAAAGATGGAAACGTCCCATAACTTGACTATATTGATGTCGCTGACATGGTTGTGTTATTGTACTACAGTTTCACAAATATTACCATTAGGAGAAGTGGGGTAAAGAGCACAGAGGAACTCTTAGAATTGTATGTGAACCTGCAACTTTTATTTCAAAATTAAAAGTTTAAATTAAAAGACACTTAGGATTTCTTAAGAATTTATTACTCTCACTTTGGGAGGCTGAGGTGAGAGGACTGACTGCCTGAGTCTACGGGTTCAAGACCAGCCGCAAACTTGGAGAGAACTCAATTCTACAATAAATAAAAAAATTAGCCAGGTGTGGTGGCATGTGCCTGTGGTTCCAGCTACTTGGAAGGCAAAGGTGGAAGGATCACCTGAGCCCAGTAGGGCGAGGCTGCAGAGGCATGAGCATGCCACTGTACTCCAGCCTGGGCGACAGAGTAAGACTCCAACTCAAAAAAAAAAAAAAAAAAGAATTTATTATTTGACTTATTATTTAATTTATTATTCGAATTATTTATTATATACTAATATTATAATCCTTTTTATCTTTATCTGCTGTTTGAGTCACCAACTATAAATTTGATTTCTCTGGTTCCAAGAAAGATTAATAACAAAAGCTAGTCTCCTATTTGTCTCCACCTCCAAATATAATCTTGGCATCCTGAGTCAGGATCAAGAAATATGAGAAATGGCAATGGAGTGGAAGTGAGTGAATCCAGTCTTAGAAACATGCTGCAAATAGTTAAAACAAATGAAAGCACCGTTCAAGAAAAATGGGAGGGCGGGCATGGTAGCTCAGACCTATAATTCCAGCATTTTGGGAGGTCAAGGTGGGAAGAGCGAGCCCAGGAGTTCAAGACTAGCTTGGGCAACATAGTGAAACCTTGTCTCTACAAAAATTAAAAAAAATTAGCCAGCTGGGCTGGTGCCGTGCACCTGTAGTCCCAGCTACTCAAAGGCTGAAGTGGAAGTATCATCTGAGCCCAGGAGGGCAAGGCTGTGGTGAGCTGTGATCATGCCACTGCACTCCAGCCGGGGTGACAGAGACCCCGTCTCAAAAAAAGAAAAGAAAAAGGGAAAATGGGAGAAAAGGAAATAATCCAAATAAGTTAAGTAATAATACACACTCCTTCTACTGGTTTGGCTCTCTAAGGACTGAAATGGCCCCGGACGTAGTAGTACAATCTAAAAATTTTGAGGCTGGAATGTTAACAAAAACCCACTTTAAAAGACAGAGGGTAAGCCGGGCTCGGTGGCTCAGCCTGTAATCCCGCGCCTTTGGGAGGCTGAGGTGAGTGAATTGCCTGAGTCCGCGAGTTCGAGACCCGCCTGGGAATCGAGACCTCATCTCTACAATAAATCAAAAAATCAGCCGGGCTGGTAGCGCATGCCTGTAATTCCGGCTACTCGGAAGGCTGAGGCGGAAGGATCGCCGGAGCCCAGCAGGTCGAGGCTGCGGTGGCCGGGAGCGGCCACTGCACTCCAGTCTGGGTGACAGAGTGAGACTCCGACTCAAAAAAAAAAAAAAAGTTTCAGAAAATATCATAAGCACATCCATTTCTTTATTGTGTAACTTTGAGAAAATTTCTTAACTGTCTACTATGTCACAATTGTGTGATCTTCACAATAGAGATGATGGTTACCCATGTAGTAAGCCCTGAGTATTCAATGAGATAATACACACAAATATAAAAACCACCATTACTCTCCCAGGAATACGTCCCCTCTACAATGTCATAAAGAGCACAAGTGCAAAACCTTATCAACAACAAAAACGCTGATCATAGCCCTGAAAATGGAAACAACCTAATTATTCATCATAGTACACCTACCCATGGATTGACTGCCATATGGTCTTTCAGATGAAGTTGTGGATTTTTTGTACTTTTTAAATTTTTTTTGAGTTGGAGTCTCACTCTGTCAACCAGACTGGAGTGCAGTGGCTGCTCCTGGCCACTGCGGCCTCGACCTGCTGGGCTCCGGCGATCCTTCCTCCTCAGTCTTCCGAGTAGCCGGAATTACAGGCATGCACTACCATGCCCGGCTGATTTTTTGATTTATTGTAGAGATGAGGTCTCGCTGCCCAGGCGGGTCTCAAACCTGCGGGCTCAGGCAATCCACTCACCTCAGCCTCCCAAAGCGTGGGATTACAGGCTGAGCCATTGAACCCAGCTGGATTTATTTTTACTAATAAAAAAAAAAAAATCTGTAGCCTAGTACACAGAAAAAAGGCAAGTTACAGAACAGAATTATAGAAGATATGACCCCATTTATATACTAGGGGGACCCAAAAAACCCTGAAATTATCTTTTGGAGAGCAGGCCCCTTGTAGTATAGGCTTCCCCAACCAGGCAAGTGTTCTAGGAACCCACTGGCATCAGTATACCAGCAAGCATTATCGTGAGAGGCTGCATTCAGTTTCAGTGAATTTTTTTGTAGATTCTTTCAATGCATTTGCCTGTTTTATGATGGGTGATTTAAGAGTGCACCTCTCCACACAGCACTGAGAGTTCAGCAGTTTTTTTAAACAAAAAATAACATGAACCCCGTGCCTCACCCTACCTATTCACCTGCTCTCGTCCTAGGTGACTTTTTGTTTCCCTGGATGAAACAAGTCCTCAAAGGGAAATGTTTTACCAATGTGGAAGAGGTGAAACAGAAGACGGCAGAAGCACTAAACGGCATCAAAATCGCCGAGTTCAAAACCTGTTCTGAGCAGTGAAAAAAGCATCTTGACAGGTGTACTGAATCAAACAAAGAATACTTTGAAAGTGACTGAAAAGTTTAAACATGTACGTTTTATACACAGGTTTTTAATAAGTAAATCCCGGGTTTTTTTGGGTTCCCCTTGTACAACTGAAGACGCACATCTCTATGTATGTACACATGCACAAAAGGTTTCAATATGGGCTGCTTGAACTTGAAGATGAGCTGGCTGTGTGCATATAACCAGTTCTAAATATAGGCCTTAATAAATGTAAAGCTTATAAATATAGAAAACAGACCTATTAAAGTTACTAGCAGTCAGTTCAGATACTTCTGAACTTACATCTTTATTCTTGGTAACGACATTGCTAAATAATGACCTGTCGATGACATTACTATTTCTCTTCTGGCTTAAACGAAGACCAAAGAGAGTTCGAACTTCATTTTCGTCTGGTATGTAACACTGGTCCATCTAGGATACAAATGCAAAAAGTTAAAGACAATATATTCACATTGCTCAAATTTATCATTTAATTTATGTAAAAGAGATTTCATTATAAGCAAAGTTATACACATTTTTAAAAATTTAAACATGGGTAAGGTCATCTTACAATAATACAATGCCCAAGGACCAATACTCTGCTCCAAAGTTTTTTGTAGATCTTACCACTCCATCAATAGATTTTAACTTACACCCAATATATAGAAAGCAATGATTCCATTGAGTGTATTTTTGGTTACATTACACTATAGTCCTTTTGGTAGGTTAGCAGATGAAACAGATTTGCTAATAAATAGGCCTTGGCACAAAAATTAAATTCTAATTTTCCTTTCTTTCTAGAAATCTATTACAAAATACCTAACTAATACCTGAATTAGAAGTCAGAAGGGAAAAAACAGGATTTATAGTCTGTGTCTTTGCTATTGTAAGGGAATTTATGTCATTTACTGCAATCTTCCTTTCCCAAATTGGAACTGAAAAGATATTAAGATGTGGAAAATAATATGCATTAAGATCACTCTCGTTAGATATTTTTCTGAACTTGACAATATTTGTTCATTTATCCTTTGGATGAGTTTTGATTTAGAAAAAACTGATATCTATAATTTAAGCAAGACAGTATAAATATTAGTTCTGTTTATCCTATATTTTCTTGAATTTTAAAATGTCCCTCGCATCATGCATTGTAAAATTTCTAAAACTGATATGCTCTCCTAAATAAGTGATGCCAAGACAACTTGTCTTTCTAGCCAGGTAGAAGAATAAGTTGTTTCATGGTTGTAATGTGTCCAATGTGCAAACTAAAGCCAAATTCTCAAGTAAATGAAATACCAACAAAGCCCTGGTATACTTTCAACATCCCCAGCATGCTATGTCTGGTGTTGAGAAGGTCATGATAATAACTCATGTACTGGGAAATATTTTCCATAATGCTACACGAAATTGTTAATGGCCATAATTATATGATACTCTTAACAACAACAAAAAAACACTTAATTAAAAAACTGAAGAATAATAGCTATATTTCACAGCTGTACCTGTACGATTAAACTTGCTGTCAAGTGGCTTAAAAAAGTATATGTAGTATTTTCTTCTTCCCTTGAAAATTCAACATGGAATCTATGATGAATTATAAGATTACTGGTATCTTACAATCAAGGGAATATACTTAATAATTTCCATTATATGGAGGTGGGATTTCACCAGTTTTCTGATGTCAATGTCTTATGAAAAACCGCATTATGAATTTTTACTTTCTTTTTTTTTCTTTTTTATTTTTTTGAGTTGGAGTCTCACTCTGTCGCCCAGTGGCCGCTCCCGGCCACCGCAGCCTCAACCTGCCGGGTCCCAGCAATCCTTCCGCCTCAGCCTTCCAAGTAGCCGGAATTACAGGCATGCGCTACCATGCCCGGCTGATTTTTTGATTTATTGTAGAGATGAGGTCTCGCTGCCCAGGCGGGTCTCGAACCCGCGGGCTCAGGCAATCCACTCACCTCAGCCTCCCAAAGGTGTGGGATTACAGGCTGAGCCACCGAACCCAGCTAATTTTTACTTTCAATTCAAGTAACTCTTTGCTTTATCAATGCGTAATCTTAGATTGTGGGCTAGTTTCCCTAATACAGAACAGCTCATAAAAATCAGGAAGGAAAAAAGTCTCAACAACACCATAAAAAAAAGAATATAAACAATCTTAAACATGAAAATACGTTCATCCCACACATAATGAGATATTAAAACTGAGCGGAGATACCATTTTCTAATTGTAAAGATTTGTTAAAAGTATAAAAACACAATCTGGCAAAGGTGTTGGAAATAGGTATATTTTATATATTTCCATTAGGACATTAATTAATTCAGTCCTAAGTTTACTCCTAGGATTTCTCTAGGTTATTCATTGCAGGAGTATGCGTAGTAGCTAAAGATTGGTGACTGGTGACTAGGTAAGATACACAGATAAAGGGTAAACTTTCCACACGGTGAAACAGGGTGCAATTTAAGTCAGGAGACAGAGAGGGAAATATTTGTTGAAAATATATAATTTCAGGAAAAATAAGCAAGAAACTTAATCCCGGCACTTTGGGAGGCCAAGGCAGAAGGATTGCTTGAGCCCAGGAGTTCGAGACCAGCCGGGGAAACACAGTGAGCCCCGTCTCAATTAAAAACGTAAAAAATTAGCCAGGTGTGGTGGCATGCCTGTAGTCCCAGCTACTTGGGGAACTGAGGTGGGAGAACTGCCTGAACCCAGGAGGTCAAGGTTGCAGTGAGCTATGACTAAACCACTGCACTTCAGCCCTCCACCCCAGGCAAAAGAGTGAGGTCACAGCTCAAACAACAACAACGAAAACAACAACAACAAACCAGAGGTAACAAGAGCGGAATGGGAAAACTTTCCATTAAATATTATTAATATTATTTTGGAGATGGGGACTTGCTATGCTGCCCAGGCTGGGGTGCAGTGGCTATTCACAGGCAAAATTGTAGCATAAGGCTGCCACTCAAACTACTAGCCCCAAGTTATTCTTCAATCGCAGCCTCCTGAGTAACTGGGTCCACAGGCAGGCACTGCTGTACCACGCAAATAATATTTAGTACCTTTAAAAAAATAAATTGTGCACATATGTTATTAAGTTTAAAAAAATTAAGAGTATGAAAGCTATCCTCATTTCAAACTCAAAAATTAGTTTTTTAAAAATACAAGTTTATAGGTAAAGAAGCTATAGTAAGCAAGGATAAACTAGGTGTCAGCATAAGAAAATAAACATGAAGGAAGAGAGACACCAAATAAAAGCAAATTACTATATTGAACATGAACTGTACTTACCTGAAGAACACAGTAGTTTCCATTTTTCTTTTTAGAAAGTATTTTCAAGGCTTCTTCTTCATATCCTGGGGCAATAATACCATCAGATACCTGCAAATATATTAAATGTTAATTTCTATTTAGAAAATCAGAGAATACCTCTGAAAAAAATCTCACAACGATCTGTCTTAAATAATGCTGCAGCATTTTCTAGCTCCAAGAAATAATACTAATACTGCACATAAAAAAGGTAATTCTGTTAGAATACAGCTTTCTATAGTTGATCCTATCTCAGATTGCTTTCAAAGATTTTGTTTGTTCATTTCAGTTTTAACTAAGAATATTTGAATGATTTGCTCTAATGCATATACCTTAGAAGAAATTACTATTTCTTAGTTACACACTCTCTTCCAGAAGTGGTGTTTTACACTAGAAAGAGAATGCTCTAGTTCTGACTCTGGTCGTACATGGCTAAATGACCCTGGCAAGGCATATTCCTTAACAGTAAGACAGGATTAGATTAAGTCAGAGATTTAACATAACTAAAACGTATGTCACGTTCTCATAATCTGTAACACAGGTATGGGAGTGGTCATAAAAAGAACCCTTAAAACAACTAAATATTGTCAAGCCACACACCCCTTCAGTCTTGGCCTCTCCCCAATTTTTCCCCTCTAGCTTTTTAACTTTTCTATCTTCCCACTACCAACAAAATCCCCAACTTTCTGGAATGCTTGTTTGGTATTCAACTGAATACTGAATAATTAATTGTTAATTTATCAATGTAGTTTATATTTTTCCCCATCATACAGTCTCTTTTATCACAGATCTAGGAGGGTTTATAGTATGGTTCATTACCGCATCATTATCTAAGATGGCATTCTCTGCTCTCTGGAAATAATACCTTTAGCATTAAGACAACAAGACAATTTAAAAGAATTAAATATTTACATAAAAAATGTATCAACAGTCAAAATATCCATGTGAATCATTAATTCACTAAGTCTCAAAATTACCAATTCAAGAATTCATGCTCTACATAAAATATAAACATTAAATGATAAACAACTAATTTATAGATGCTACAAATATAAATATTATAGGTTAGGGTTTCAATGAACATTATGAGCAAATATAACTTTATTCGATTACACAAGGATCAAAATACATGAACGTCCACTAACTTCTCTGGAAATGATCTTTGCAGTTGGGACATCACAAACATCAGATAATGCAACAAAATCACCAAATGAAGACATCCTATCAGACCCTGTAAATAAAAATTAAAAGAAGGCATTTATCACAAAACTATACTTGTATAGAAAAAGTAATGTTTTAAAAATCCTCATGTGATCATATAAAATCCATTTCTGTAAAGCTAACCTTATTGTTTACCTAAGATTTAAATAACAGATCAATAAGTTATTTAACTGAAGTCACCAGTAAGAAGTATTCTTTAATTTCCCCTTCAAGAGTGATGTTCAGCAAACTTTTTTAGTGAAGGGCCAGAGAGTAAATATTATTTAAGCTTTGGAGCCATATGGTCTCTACTGTAACTACTCAACTCTGCAGTTGTAGTGTAAAACTAGCCATTGACAACACATATACTATATTTACAAAAGCAGGTGACAGACCGGATTTAGCCTGCAAATATTACAATATTCACAGGTTTTTGAACTCAAGAATTATTTCTGAAATACATAAAATATAACTCAAGTCAAATTTAGTATAGTTAGAATAGTCACAGAACTTTAATCATATACTAAAATATACAAATGCCTTCAATAGGCTAATCTGAAATTACATCCACCAAATTCCATGTTTCTATTTATTACATTAAAATACTAACATATACTTTTATAAACAAATGTATTTTGAGGCACTCATAATCATTCTCAAATATTAATAAAAACAAATTTAAAATACTTTGAAATCTTATAAAACAAGTAACACTTTAATATATTAGTAAATAATTTATTATATAAAATAACTTTATATACAGAAATTAAGATAAAATTAAGTCCTTAACTTCATCTATTTATATTATATACAGACTACTAATATATTTTTTTCTATTTATTCCATGCTATTTTATTCCATTCAGGATAAAATACTGCTCTTCCTCTCCCTCCCCCAAATTACAAAACCCTGTTAGTCCCACCTCTTGCTCTTGCATATGCAGTTGATATGGGGGTAAGGGTTTTGTAGAGATCGTAGACCATGCAGACTTTGGCCTCATCTTCACTGAGTGGAATTCCAATAGCAGCACCTGATACGGAAAACCATTATCATAATAAACCCCCCAAATCTCAAGAGACTACTTGTCAACTCCTCAATCCAGACATTTTCTTAGCATCTAGTCTAGGCAGCATATTTTCTAGTGCCTGTTCTAAATTAAAAAGAAATCTATTTAGCCAGGTAATTAAACACCAAAAATATAGCTGTGGGAGGAAACTCTCCTCACTGGCCTCTGAAAACAGAGCCACTGAAGCCTGACAGTACCTGGCATATATATGAATCTGGTGTGCTTTGTTACTCACTCCTTTCCTCTGTCCTGCTTGAGATCACAAACCATTTATTTCCTCCCTACTCATTTCTCTTTACCATCCAATAAACATTTGAGAACGAACTACGTAAAGCGCTAACAGCAGATCTGGTACAGACATAAACAAGATGTGAAACTAAAAACTTCAACAAGAAGGCATAATGTATCTCATATTAACGGCTATAACACGTTCCAGGTAAGGTGTCATAAGAACAATCTTTGTGTCTACCCAAGTTACATTTTAAACCTGTGGAAAAACACTTATTTTAGTCTATTACATCAAGCCATTTGACTTTTATTTTTGAAACACTTTATGTTTGCCCCACAAAGAAATTACTGCTTGATCTTCTATCTCACAACAATACTATATAATGATATATGCATGTGTGTTATTATGTTACCAGATTTTATCCATTATATTGATACTGTCATCATCAATAGATCTGACATTTAGACTTCATAAAATGTCTATATTCTCGATAGAACTTGTCGATATTTTTTGAAAATTAACAGGGAAATGCATTCCTAATAGTCCCGTGGCATTCCAGAACTCAGAGTGTTACCTGCTGGGCTGACATGCTTGAAAGAGGCAGCGGCCGGGACATCTAGTGCCTCTTTGAGTTCCTTCACCAGCTGCCAGGCATTCAAAGCATCACACAAGTTTATAAATCCAGGGGCTCCATTTAGAACTATATAAAAAAAAACATACATACGTTACTAAGCAGGTCAGTAAGATCGGATGTATACACAGTTCTCAAAAAAATAACATGTATTAAGACTATGCAAATGTTTAAGAATAATTCAGAGGCAAATAGACATATACAAACATATAAAAACTTGACAAAGGAGAACAAAGAAGCAGAGTCCGAGTCCCTCTTAACAAATGCACACGCCCATGCATGCACAACGGGAGCACCAAATCAGTCAGTCTAGAAAGAAATTCACAGTAGAGATTCAGGCATTGGAGAAACTGACAAGACTAGTGATCAATCCGGGATCCATGTATACGCAGAACTAAGACTGAACAACTGTGGCAATTACAGAAACAGTATACAATTTAAGGTATAAATCTTGTCCACTCAAGAAATTATATTATAAGCTAAATCAAGAATTGTGGGTGGGAAGAGAAGAGAGGAAATCACATGTTGGTTTTTTCTTCTTTTATAGCAAACTCAGCCTAAAGCGAAACTGCAGCTTATAGGCCGAGTGCTGTGGCTCAAGCGTGTAATCCTAGTACTTTGGGAGGCGAAGGTGAGAGGACTGCCTGAGCCCACAGGTTTGAGATCAGCCCGGACAACTTGGTGAGACCTCGTCTCTACAATAAATCAAAAAATTAGCAGGGCGTGGTGATGCATGCCTGTAGTTCCATCTGCTTGGAAGGCTGAGGCAGAAGGAACACCTGAGCCCAGCAGGTCGAGGCTGCGGTGGCCATGAGCATGCTACTGCACCCCAGGCTTACTCTGTTACTCTGGGTAACAGAGTAAGACTCCAATTCAAAAAAACAAACAAAAAAAAACCTTGTTAATGTCTTACAAGAAATCCCTATTTATGTGCCCGGAGCTGCCTCTGCCATCCACTTTTACCACAAACAACATTTTAAATTTCAAAAGAAAGCAACTCTCTCTATCTCTCTCTCAGAACAATGGTAAGACTTCTACAGAGTACAAATGAAAATGCTTTTGAAAATAAAAAGTATGGGAATTGAAAGTACACGCGAAAATTTTTGCCTCGGAATCTAAATGGGGAATATATAAACTCTAGGCAGGAAATATCTGAGATAAAACAGTAGATAAATCTATTTTAAGAAGTCCTAGAAGTAACAAAGTGTACAAAATGTCAGGCTTCTAATTATCCATTTAATAAGTATCTAGAGCACATGCTAGCAAGACTCTGTCAAGCACTGGGGATACAGCAACAAACAAAGACAGGCAAGGCTTCTGTCCCCAGGAGCTGACATCCTAACCAAAAGACAATTCAAACAGAAATGTACAGAAATGTGTGCAGCAAAACAGTGTAAGTGATGGAAGTGTGAGGAGCAGCTACTTTGGGAAGGATGCTCTGGGGAGGTAAGACCCGAATAACAAGAAGCCAAGGCTGTGAAGTTCAGAGGGAAGAATTCTGGTGAAGGAAACAACTAGCCAGAGGTCCTGGAGTGCAAACGGCTGTGCCCGTGGGATGCACGGGAAGAAGGGGCTGGGAGCAGGAGGAGGGGAAGCCAGAGGAGAAGATGAGACCCGGTAGCATGGGGTTTGTAGGGCAGGGCAAGGCACTCACGGAAAGTCAGTGAATGATTTTAAGTAGGGCATGCATCATCTGATGGACATTTTTTAAAAAACTTTTTTGTAGCGATGGAGTCTGGCTGTATTACCCAGGCTGGTCTCGCACTCCTGGGCTCAAGGGGCCCTGCTGCCTCAGCCTCCCAAAACTCTGGGATGACAGCATGAGCCATCACACCCAGCCTGATGTGCATTTTTGAATGATTGACTGTGTTGTGAGGAACAGAAAAGCCAAGAGAGAAAGCAGAGACATTATATAGTCAAGAGTTTTTCAGTCTGGGAGACTTTCCAGGGTGCCTGTGGGGACCTGGGTCATATCTGAAGGAGAATAACAAGAGAACCTGCCAATTCCCTGACTGTACAGGTAAGAAAAAGAGCATTTCAGACTTTCCTCCAACACCCCCTGCTCCCCTCTCCATCTAGCCCTCAGTTGGTCCCGGCAGGAATGCTGCATCTGCCTGCTATCAAACGCTCTGGACTGTGTGCTCCAGGTTTGCCCTCTCTGCACAGGAACAAGGCTACCCTCGCTCTCACCCGAGGCCGGCCCCCAGCAGTGTTTGGGCCTCCAAAGCCTTCATGTCTGTATCCGCCTCCTGTCTTCCCTCCCACACGCCCTTCTATGTGTAGGACATGCTGTAATAGCCCATCTTAGAAACAAAACAGGAGAGGCTGGGTGCAGTGGTTTGCATCTGTAATTCCAGCACTTTGGGAGGCCGAGGTGGGAGGATTGCTAAAGCCAGAAGTTGGAGACAAGCCTAGGCAACATAGCGAGACCTCATCTCTGCAAAGAAAAAAAAAGAAAAAAAAGCTGAGTGTGATGTGTGCCTATAATCCTAGCCACTCAGGAGGCTGAGGCAGGGGGATTGCCTCAACCCAGGAGTTCAAGGCTGCGGTGAGCTGTGATTATTTCACTGCACTCCAGCCTGAGCAAGAGTGAGAGCTCCATCTGTAAAAAAGATAGAGAGAGAAGGAGAGAGAAACAAAACAGGACAAAAAATTTAAAAACTTAGTATACAAACCCATGGAAGTCCTATGTTGTCTGTTCAAAGAATTATCTATCATCTCCTAACCTCACACTTCTATTTCAACTGAGCTTCCAGACCCACCACTCAAAGGAAACCTCTTATGACAACATTTCCCAAACAAAAGTCCCTTTGCTGTTCTCAACAGCATTCCAATTAGTTGGAATTCTCCAGGTTTTCCTCTGCTGTTTTCTCTACTGTCTGGATCTCATACAGAGAAGAGGGTAGGAAGCTGGGAAGTATCCTAAGGCTTGGTATGACCCTCTTCTCTGTATGAGATCCAGGCCATCTCATCCTGTCCCGTATCTTTAAAAACAGCTATAGATCAAAGAACCATGGCTGGGTGTGGTGGCTCAAGCCTGCACTTTGGGGGGCCAAGGCGAGAGAACTGCCTGAGCCCACGGGTTCGATATTAACCTGAGCAATTTAGTGTGACCTAATCTCTACAATAAATCAAAATTAGCTGGGCACAGTAGCACATGCCTGTAGTTCCAGCTACTTGGAACACTCTCACACTCTCTCTGAGGCAGAAGGATAGCTTGAGCCCAGCAGGTTGAGGCTACAGTGGCCGTGACTATGCCACTGCACTCTAGCCTGGCCGACAGAGTGAGACTCCAACTCAAAAAAAGAAAAAAATGCGAATCACATCAGACAGAACACAGAAAAAGACACACATATCCAGACCCAGCAAACTGTGCCGTTTTGCATTACTGTTACCTGTGATGGGAAGCCTGGGTTTCAATGTGTAGAGCTGGGCAGGGGTTTGATGGGGGTTCATTCCGTATCTCAGAGGCATCTGAGATACTCCTTTACTGTATTGTTTCCTGAAGTAATCTGAAATTGCTTCATCATATTCTGCCGTATGAGTAAATGCCTACAAAAAGTGTAAATTTTGTGAGAAACTAGCAGCATTTCCCAGAGTGGGGGACAAGAAGGTTTTAGGTACACAGTAAATATGACACTGACACACACAGACACACACACACACACACGATACCAAATAACATTGACTGGAACAATAAATTATTCCTTTCCAAATCTCTTTCAATCCTTTTGACAGAATCTCTCTTATATTTGGTCCCTAAGTATATTGTTTTTCTTTTATTTTTTTGGAAACAGGTTTCACCCTGTTGCCCAGGTTGGAGTGCAACGGCGTGATCTCAGCTCACCGCAGCCTCAAACTCCTGGGCTCAAATGATTCTCTGGTCTCAGCCTCCTGAGTAGCTGGGACTACAGGTATGTATCACCAAGCCCAGCTGAGTTTTCTATTTTTTGTAGAGACGAGGGTCTTGCTTTGTTGCCCAAGCTGATCTTGAACCCGGGCCTCAAGCAGTCTTCCCATCTTGGTCTCTCAAAGTGATTACAGACATGAGCCACTTTGTTGCCCAAGCTGATCTTGAACCCGGGCCTCAAGCAGTCTTCCCATCTTGGTCTCTCAAAGTGATTACAGACATGAGCCACTGCACCTAGTCTACTCTCTTGATGTTTAACAAAGGATAGCAGCCGCACACAGAGCCTTGGTATGTGATACATCTAGTGAGAACTGAATGCTGCTTGGCTAGGCAAACACTCCAGTAGATGGATATAGTTTTACATATTATGGAAGCCTGCCCCCACCTTCAAGGCTAGCTGGCGTCTAGTCTCCAAGGAGGTGTCTTTACTCTCAGAACTCTGCATCTCTGTAGACACTGCGGCATAGTCCTCTGGCTCACACACCACTGTCACTCGAGCGTGGTTTTTGGCTGCTGCTCTCAGCAGGGTCACTCCACCTTTGAAGAACAAAAAAAGAGGTATTGTTTTTGTGTTTCCACGTCACTTGTGAACCTCTTTCAAATACAGTCATTTACATCCATTTTAATATTTGACACAAAAAGATAGCTTAGAAAACAGATGAGTTACAGTCTCAGAATACAATCTGGGAGATGTAACTATTTTCAATTTCCTCAACAATGAAACTCAAAAGGAAACCTCACCGAAATTTAAATAATCTTCGCCTGTCATTCTTCTACATGTGTTTTCTGACTTACCTATATCAATTTGCTCAACCGCCTGCTCAGCAGTTACATCTGGAGAAGCCACTGTCTTCACGAAGGGATACAGATTACAGGCGACCACCCTAAAACAAAGAGGAATTTAGCTGTCACGAAAAGTTCGACTGATATAGTTTACAACTATCAAGGGAAAAAATGAGTCAGTACTATTAATGTGACCAGAACCCATAAAGAACTATAAACTGTGGTGTGACATTTCAGAATTCTAAAAAGTATGTTAAGAAGCCAGGAGGTCTTACTGTTACTCAGCGTAGGTAACTTAGTCAGCAGGTGCTCTGAATCCAAAAGCACACTATTCCCTCCAAATTATATTGCAATGCTGCTGCCTGGGTAGACTTAGCTACGCAGTACTACCAAGCTATCAAAAATTTATTTAAAAATTTAATAGAAGTACAAAATACAAGATTGCAGCTAACATCTTCACTTTGGAATATGATCACTATTATCTAGGACATTCGAGTTTAGAATCCTTTTCGAATGGATTGTGTACAATAATGAAAAATATCGGAGCATTCTAAGAGTGAAATTTGTGCTTATTTTGCCCTTGGAAAGGTCATAAAAATGATGGTAATAGGAAAGCCAAAAGAATAATTTAAAATACAGAACTAATAAAAAATAAACAAGTGGGAATCCCACTCCCAGGACTGCAATGCGAGGAGCTCTATGGGTCAGCTCCTCAGCAAAACAATGTGGTGAAAACTAATTAAAAAAAAAAAAAAACAACAGTAGAGGAGGAGAAATACTTCCTAGCTATTTCTATGTCTATTATCCTATTACTAAAACCAAAAAAGCATATCACAAGAAAACTACAGGCCAATCTCTTACGTATACTGACACGAAAACCCTCAACAAAATACTAGCGAAGTCTACAAAAATATAAGTATACATCGAGGCCAAGTAAGGTTAATCCCAGGATTGTTAGCTTGGTTTAATATCTAAAAATTAGTTAATGCAATATCAATAGAATAAGGAACAAAAATTGCCTGATGATCTCAATAGATGCACAAAAAGTCATTGACAAAATTCAATACCTATTCATGTAAAAACACTCAGCAAATTAAGAATAGAAGGAAACTTACTCAACACGACAAAGTATAAGAAAAACTCACGGCTAATAGTATTCTTAATGGTGAAAGACTATCCCTAAGATCAAGGATAAGGTAAGGATGTCCACTCTTACCACTTCTATTCAATATTGTACCGTAAGTTCTAGCCAAGACAATTCAAAGAGAGTGAAATAAAAAGCATCAGGATTGAAAAAAAAAATAAGTGAAGTTATCTCTATTTGCAGATGATGTAATTTATATAGAGAATATCCTAAGAAACTCAAGAATAACCTATCAGCACTAAAAATGAGTCCAGCAAGGTTACAGGACATATAATCCATACACAAACATCAACTGTAATCAGTAATGAACAAATCAGAAAATAAAATTAAGAAAACAATTCTACTTATAATACCATCAAAAATAAAGTATTTGAGACAATTTAACAAAAATACAAGATTGTTGAAAGAAATTAAAGAAAATCTAAATGAAAAGACACCCCATGTTCGTGGATTGGAAGACTTAATACTGTTAAGATGGCGATATTTCCCAAATTGATCTACAGATTCAACACAATTCCTATGAAAATTTCAACTGACTCTGTTTTTTGTCATTCTTTGTTTTTGCAGATATGGACAAGCTGATTCTGAAAATCATGTGGAAACACAAGGGACCCTGGATAGTCAAAACAATCTTGAATAAGAAAAACAAAGTTGGAGGACTCACACGTCCCAATTTCAGAATTCACTACACAGCTATAGTACTTATGTAGTACTGGCATAACAAGAAATACATAAACCGAAGGTGTTGAGATCACTCAATGAAAAAATAATAGTCTTATCACAAATGACGCTGGGACAGCTGAACAGTCACATACAAAAGAGTAAAGCTGGATTTCTACTTCACACTTACACATAAAATTAACTTAATCAATGATGAACTATGGGGGCTAAAACTAAAAAAACTCTTAAAACATATGCAAAAACCTTCATCACCCAGGATGAGACAATGGTTTCTTAGATATGACATCATAAGCACAAGCAATACAAAAAAAAAAAAAAGATAAACTGGACATCATCAATACTAAAAACCTTTGCAAAGGTCAAAAAGATGCACTCAAGAAAACACAGTCCACAGAATAGGAGAAAATAAAGTTACAAATCAAAAAAAAAAGTAGAAATGGAGAAAGGATCTGGACATTTCCCCAAGGCACACAACTGGCTAATAAGCACATGAAAAGATGCTCAACATCATTAAGGAATGCAAAGCATAACCACAGTGAGATGCCACTCCACAAGCCCTAGAATGGCTAGAATAAAAAGACAGTAACAAATGCTGGTAAGGATGTGAAGAAACTGAAACCCCATTATACTGCTCCTGGAAATGTAAAACAAGTACACCACTCAGAAAAACAGTTGGTTAAATATAGAGTTATAATACGATCAAGGAATTTCACTCCTAGGTTTACACCCCTCGCAAAATGAAAACATATACCCACACAAAAACTTGAACATAAATATTCACAGCTACATTTTTTTCATAATATCCAAAAAGTAGAAACACCACAAATGCCCATTAACTGATAAATAAAATAGGGTATATAGCCATACAATGAATTATTTTTCAGCAATAAAATAAAGTACTGATACTATGCTATAGGATAAATATTGAAAACATGTTAAGTGAAAGAAGCCAGTTACCAAAAAACCACATACCGTTGGATTCCATTGATAGAATAAATGTAATAGGTATAGGGGTTTTTTTTTTTGGTGGGGATAAATATGTTCTAATATTAAATGTGGTAATGGTTTCACAACTTCTGTGAATATACTAAAAACCACTGAATTGTATATTTTAAGTTGGTGAATTGTATGGCATGTGAATTCTACCTCAATAAAGTTGCTATATATATTTAAAACAAACAGTTAATCTCTCTGCAAATAATTAAGTTGGTTGTACAGGTTGGGCACCCCTGATCTTAACATCTGAAATAATCCCAGACTGAACTTTTTTGAGTGCCTACATGACGTTCAAAGGAACGTTCTGGATTTATTTTAAGATTAGGGTTGTCCTATTCAACATAGAACTAAAAGTCCTAGCCAGAGCAATCAGGCAAGAGAAAGAAATAAAAGGTATCTAAATTAGAAAAGAAGAAATCAAACCATCACTGTATGCCAACAACATGATCTCATACCTAAAGAATCCTAAAGACTCCCAGACTTGATAAGTGAATTCAGAAAAGCTTCAGGATACAAAATCAACACACACACAAATCAGTAGCACTGCAATACACCAATAGCAATCAAGCTGACAATCAAATCAAGAACTCAAATTCATTTACAATAGCAGCCAGAAAGCTAAAATACCTAGGAGTATATTTAACCAAGGAAGTTAAATCTCTACTAGAGAACTACAAAACTCTGATGAAAGAAACAGTAGAGGACACAAACAAACGGAGAAACAACCATGCTCATGGACTGGAAGAAATCAACACTGTCAAAAATGACCATATCATACAAAGTAGTCTACAGAATCAATGAAATCCCTATCAAACTACCAATGTCATTTTCCACAGAGCCAGAAAAAAATAATTCTAACATTCATATGGAACCCAAAAAGAGCCAGAATAGCCAAAGCAACCCGAAGCAAAAAGAACAAAACTGGAGGCATTGCATTACCTGACTTCAAATAACACAAGGAAGTAGTAACCAAAACAGCATAGTACTGATACAAAAGCAGACATATAGAACAGAATAAAGTACCAGAAATAAACCCAAATACCTACAACCAACTGATCTCTGTCAAAGCAGACAAAAACATACACTGGAGAAAGGACACCTTATTCACAAACGGTGCTGGGAAAATTGGATAGCTACATGCAGAAAAGTGAGACTTGATCCCTCTCTCTCTCCATATACAAAAACTAACTCAAGATGGCTCAAAAACCATAAAAATCCTAGAACAAAACCTAAAACAAACTCTTCTGGACACTAGTTTATGCAAAGAATTTAAAGGCTAAAACCCCAAAAGCAAATGCAACAAAAACAAAAATAGACAAATGGGATTCAATTAAACTAAAAAACTTCTGCAAACAGAAGAAATAATCAACAGAGTAAATAGGCAATCTACAGGATGGGAGAAGATATTCATACACTATACATCTGACAATGGACTAATATCCAGAATGTGCAACTCAAAACAAATTGGCAAAAAAAAGCAAATGACCTCATTAAGAAGTGGGCAATTAAAATGAACAGACATTTCCCCAAAGATGACATATAAATGGTCAGTAAACATTATGAAAAAAATGCTCAACATCAATCATCAGGGAATGCAAATTAAACTAAAACCACAATGAGCTACCACTTTACACCGGTGGCCATTATTTTAAAAAAAATCAAAAAACAATGGATGCTGCGTGGATACAGTGAAAAGGGAACACTTATACACTGCTGGTGGCAGTACAAATTAGTACAACCTCTACGGAAATTGATATGCTGACTTCGCCAAAAACAAAAAGTAGACCTACCACTTGATCCAACAATCCCACTACTAGGTATCTACCCAAAGGAACAGAGGTCATTATATAAAAAAGACACCTGTACCGCATGTTCATTATAGCACAGTTCACAATTGCAAAGTTGTGGAATCAACCTAAATGCCCACCAACTGGTAAGTGGATAATGAAAATGTGGTATAGGTACACCATAAAATATTTAGCTATCAAAAAAAAAAAAAAGAAATAATGTCTTTTACAGCAACTTGGATTGGAGATCATCATCCTAAGTGAACTAACTCAGGAACAGAAAACCAAACACAGTCATGTTCTCCCTTATAAGTGGGAGATAAACTAAGCGTCTGCAAAGATACAGAGAATGGTATAAAAGAACCTCAGAAGGGGGATGGGAAGAAAAGGTGGAGGATGAAAAATCACCTACTGGGTGTACTGTACATAGATGGGAGTGGTGAGCACACTACATTCCCAGTCTTCTTAGCCCGTATACAATGCAACCATGCAACCTCAAACTATTTGTACCCCCTGAAACTAATGAAATAAAGAAAAAAAAGTTAGAGATGATCAGTTGGTATGTTATCTGCAAATATTCCAAAACCTGAAAAAAAGCTAAAATCTGAAACATTTCTGGTCGCAAGCATTTCAGGGATACTCAACTTATGCACACTAAGATTTAGGTCATAAAACGCCAAGCTGCTTTTAGTTTAAGTAATATAAATTTGGTTGAACCATGCTTACACAATGTCACACAAAAGGGACACAGTAAAGGGTTATGATGGGTAAGAAAAAAGAGGGCTACCAGGCTTGGCATACTCTTTGTCTTTGGTTCTTAAGGGGTAAAAATTCAACTTCAAATTTTACCTGATGAAACTGAAATCGAGTCTGGCCATGTCAGAATTGTCTTCTGGGATATTACGAGCCAGGATTCCTAATTTTACAAAGACAAGCAAAGCATGAGGTTCAAAATACAAGTCAGAATAAGGTACTTCTTTCAATACAGTCCCATCAGTCAAAGTAAATTCTGTAATATTCTTAGTTAAAGAAGACCTAAAACATAGTTGAGGAGTTATCCAATAAATTAAGAGTAGCAGATACAAAGGGGACCCAAAAACACAAAATTTACTAATAAAAAATTGTGTATTTATTCTTACGTGTTTAAACTTCAGTCTACTTCAAAGTACTCTCTGTTGGATGTAATACATCTACTGAGATGCTTTTTCCACTGCTCAAAACAGTTTTTGAATTTGTCAGTTTTGATGCCTTTTAATGCTTCTGCCACTTTCCCCCCCACCTCTTCCATCTGGGCAAAACGTTTCCCTTTGAGGACTTTTTTCATTGGGGAAACAAAAAAAGTTGCTTGGAGAGAGACTGGATGACTAGCAAGGGTGTGGGGGTCATGCCCCTTTTTGGTCAAAAACTGCTGAACATTCAACATGGTGTAGGCAATTTTTTCATGTAAACCACTCAATATGAAATGGGCAAACGCATTGAAAGAATCTTCAAAACAAAACTCACTGGAGCTGAATGCAGGCTTTCACAGCAACTCTAGCTGGTACACTGATGCCAATGGATTCCTAGAACTCTTACCTAGCGGAAAAGCCTATTTTACAAGGGACCTGCCTTCCAAAAAATAATTCCAGATTTTTTTGGGTCCCCCATCATATATTTAAAAATCTTGTTTCATCAGTTCTGGATCTCCTTTTCTTTAGCAACAAAATGTAAAAAAAAGTTAAAAAGAATTTTTACAAAGCTTGATAGTTCCAGTAATATCTTGTGTTCCCAGAAGTCAATGGCTTATCTGATGATCCTTGGCTATCCCAGTTTTATTTGCCAAATCACACCGCAACTGGTAAGTTAGAAATACACCTGCTTCCCACCATTTTGGTTTATCTTCAATCTAGTGTCTCAGATAAATAAATGTAAAGCACTTTTAAAAATTCTTTTGAAAGTCAGTTACATTGTGATGCTTTACTCTAAGTTTGAATAGTTTTAAAAGTCTTTCATACTACAAAAATCTAACTATTTTTAGTAACTCCAGCAGGAAATACCACACTGTAGTTATCAGATCAGGACTAATAGCTAGCAGAAGACAGCAATCTGAATCTATCACCTATCAAGACAAGCCAGATTTTGAACAGGTTCTATTGCATTAAGAAATCTGGCAGCAAGCATGACAAAACCAATTATTTTTAACTTTCCAGGTAAAATTTCAGCCTTTCCTTCCTTTACTCTACAAAGTTATTGACTAAAACATTCCTGAAAACCACTGATTGTTTCATACTGAAGGTACTAGCACTCACCAGCATGGACTGCAGGATGCAAAGTTTTCACACGTCCCCCCAACATTTCAGGAAATCCAGTCAGCTCAGAGACATCTCTGAAAGTAGATAACAAAACATTATTTCTGTTGTCACTAAACTGTCACTTTCACACTATTCAAAGCACCATCCATCTTTGAGTCTACTGTTCTTGTTTCAAGAGTTTTGAACCTGAATTGAATCCCAAAAACCCATTCTAGTTTCTTAACGTTTTTCACTATACTTGATTTATTAAGTAAAATTCTATTTACTTTTCAAAAATAATGTTGTTGAATGTATTTTCTAGCTGATATGTGTTCAGGGAGAATGACTAAGTATTAAAGCACTGGTTTTCCAATTATCTGAGAATTCAGAAATTGAATCATAAGCCATGCTAATTAAATACTAGGAAAAAATTCAACTGAGAAGCAATTTGGCAGTATTGTAACAAAAAGCATTAAAAAATATCATCTCAGAAACAGACCAAAGTAGAAATAGAAATTTAGTTTTATGATTAAAAAAAGCATAAAGATGGCATATAAAATGAGTGGGAAATAAAAGATTGTTTAGTAAAGCAGTGTGGGTATTGGAATAACTGGTTAACCTCACATGAAAATATATTCCCGATGAATAAAAGGTTTAAGCATTAAAGAAAAAAAAAAAGTACCAAAGTCAAATTTGTGAAGAATGGTTTCCAAGCATTAAACAAAAGACTGAGTGTTCTGATTACATAAATGTTGAAAACTTTTATACTGATAAAAAAGCTGGGGTGAAAAAAAAATCACAAAATATGACAAAGGGTCATATGAAGGACAACATTTAAATATCAATCTATATCACCAAGCTGACCTCAAAAAGTTGTACCCATCAACACTGACAGAATTCATAAATTTTAATAGCAGAATTCATGAATTTTAACGATGTGGAAAAATGCCCACAATACATAAGCAAAAAAAAAAAAAAGCAGGAAGCAAAACTGTTTCTATCTTCTGTGTGAGCTATGAAATAAAGTATATGCTTATAAAAATGCTGAAAGAAAAATACATTGACATATGCTAAAAGTCATAAGCCACTTTTATTACCTTCTTTGTAGTTTTCTACATTTTTCAAATTTTCTACAGTCAACATATATAGCCTTTTTTTATTTTTTAAAAGAGGCAGGATCTCAGTATGTTGCCCAACCTGGAGTGTGGTGGCAATTTACAAGAATGATCAAAGTACCCTGTAGTCTGAACTCCTGAGCTCAAGTGATCCTCCCCACTCAGCCTCCTGAGTGGCTGGGAATATAATTTACATTTTAAAGCAGCAAATTCCACCCATGGAATAATTTCCCGGGAAGACTCTCCTATGAAGGGGGCCACTTGCAAACGACTGGTGTTTGAGGAAGGACACGCAGGGTTCTAACGTCAACTGACAAACTGGTGATGTTATGGTTTCAAACTCAAAATTCCCTTTCTTGGAGTTCAGGAAATAAAATCCATTTCCTCCAAATGAAGAAAAGTACGTAAAACTAAGAGAAGGCAGATTTACTCTTAGAATTAAACATGTAGGGTAATAAAAAAGCTTGCTACTGTTTTGTACACAAGAATTTGTATGTAACAGTTGCTGTAGTCTTAGGGAACAATTGTCTGTATGCTCACTGCTGCATACTCACTGATTAAAATCTATCAGTTTAACTCAAGACAAGGCAAAGGTTAATTTTCTGAGATAAAACTGTTGGGGTTCAGAAATCAATATACCAAAATATGGCGCTATGGCACGTTGCAGCCTAAGAACCAAGGTCTCTTTAACTTTCTCTTGCCCACTTGCCTCTCACCTTTCATTCTCCCCTGAAGTGAATCACAGAAACCAGAATTCCTCTCCCCCAGGACAGGTTATAGAAACTAGCACCGCTTTTCCCCAAAGCCAGTCATGAAAACTAGAATCATCATTCTTAACTTTCCCCTGCCTTTCTGTCTATAAGTTGGCCATAAAGAAATTCTGACTTACTCTTCTCTGAGAGTAGGTCTTAAGACCTTCAGGAGAAAGGAATGCTACATAGAAAGACCAAGAACAATCTGAACAGACAAGTCTTTCTAGCCTAGTCCTAGTCTTTCGTTCCCCATCTCAGTTTACTAGTATTAGACCTATCCTTTTTCCCCAGTCACAGTACTACATTGCTGTCCATTTGTCATTGAACCTAAGCATAAAAACGATTTTCCCTGCATCTGAGTCTTCTTTCTGAAGGCTCTCTTATCATGTAGAGTTTCGATTTAATAAATTTGTTTTCCCTTGTTAACCTTTTGTTATAAAAAAGTATCAGCCATGATGCTTATGACGAGGAGGAAGGGTATCATACTTTTCTAGTCCTACAAAATCTTGGCCTCTTACTAGCTGTGTGATCTTGGGCAAGTTACTTAATTTTCCTTGTGCCTCAGTTTCCTTATCAAATGGGAATAATACTAACTAGGCTAAAAAGTTGTTGTAAGGACTATAGTGAGCTAACATATGTAAAACAACCTTCCAGCTTGTTTATACTTCATTCAATTAACTTTATTGCCTGTGCTTTTAATAAACAAATCATGGTAAACACTCTCATTCTTTAATAGGAGAGAAACACAAATCTTACTTTTTAAAGATCATCATAATGGAGGTAAGCGAAGTGTGGGTAGAGGTACAGAAACAAGACTAACCAGCTGATCAGTACTTAAAATAGGTGAGAGATACCGGACAAGAGGGCTTATTATACTTTTCTATTTTTTATGATGTCTGAAATGCTTCCAGAATACAAAGTTTAGCGGGGGAAGAAAGAGGCCACAGATGGGGATTCTGCTCATTTAAAAAGGGTTCCAAGCACAATAGGGGGCCCCAACTTGGCCCAATGGAAAGAATTCAGATCTAGACTTTAGAATTCTCATACTGCTGATCAGAAAAGAGGCTACCCACCTTCCTTCCATGATTCTCACAAGGTTCCTATGAGAACCAAAAAGACAAGAGGCAAAAAGACTTCGGAAAATATGAAGCATTACTTAATAAAATAAGGCACTCTTGCCATCTGATCTTGCCCAAATTCAATGCTGCGTGAGGCATGCACTGCTCACATAGCACAGTGAAAGGTACAAGGAAAGGTAATAACCCACCTCTACAATCATTAAGAGGGCAAGAAGTAAATTTTCCCCACATAAACAAAGGCGGAGATCTTTCTTTTCTTTTTTTAAGTTTTTTTTTCTTTTTCTTTTTTTTTTAGGTGGCTCAGCCTGTAATCCCAGCGCTCTGGGAGGCTTTTTTAAGTTTTTAAGCAAAGTTTATTTAGAAAGTAGATGAGCCGGGCTTGGTGGCTCAGCCTTGGGGAGGCTGAGGTGAGCGGATTGCCTGAGCCCACGGGTTCGAAACCCACCTGGGCAACTTGGTGAGAACGCATCTCTACAATAAATCAAAAATGAGCCAGCATGGTAGTGGACGCCTGTAGTTCCAGTGACTTGGAAAGCTGAGGCTGAGCCCAGCAGGTCGAGGCTGCGGTGGCCGGGAGCGGCCACTGCACTCCAGTCTGGGCGACAGAGTGAGACTCCAACTCAAAAAAAAGAAAAGAAGAAAAGAAAGCAAATGAGAGAGAGAAAAGAGAGAAGATTCATCTCCCCAAGGTGGGGGGGGGGGCAAAGCCAAGAAACATGGCAGCCATAGCTCAAAGAGCCACGCGTATACACCAGAGTTTAACAAAGCAACAGCCTAGAGATCTTTCGTCCCTTTTCTAAAATATATTTCGGGGTTGGGTATGTCCTTCCCGTGAACCCTCACTGTTTTATTAAATAGTTCATGTTCTACCTTTCAGCAAGTAGTTACTCCTTTCCCACCCGAGCCAGTCCTTGAGGGTAGGAATTGGCATCCTGACTAATCTTCTGTACATCCCTCTTCTCAACCACTAGCCGGGTAATGAAGAGCTTGTGAATGAGGGAATGAATGATTTGAAATCCTTCCTATGGTTACCAGAGATGCTAAGGGAAGAGACGTAGATTGGAATCTTCATGACGTCAACAGTTTTACTAAATAGCCAGTCAAAGCAGATCATATGAACTACAACTGGAATTTCTCTTGCATAACAAATGGCCCACCTAAGTTAATTTGTTCAAGGAAGGGGCTAAGAACTAGGGTTCTAAAATCAGGAACCCAGGTTCCAATCCTAGCTCTCCCTTTCTCAACTCTGCAAACTTGTTCAGAAATTCCTACAGGCTCACTTTCCCCTTCCATAAAGTGAGTCAGTAGTCTACCATCCTCACAGCGTGACTGGCAAGAGTAAGTAAGGTGACTTTATTCGCCTGGAATATAGTCCTTTCTGACGGACTTACAAACTAAGTGTACCTTACCTGACTCCCAGACCAGCATCCCTGAGAGCTTTTGCAGTCCCTCCGGAAGCGACCAGGCCCAAACCGAGAGAAGTTAGGCTTCTGGCAAATTCCACAAGGCCAGTTTTGTCAGAGACACTCAATAAGGCTGCAAGAGAAGGCATTTTGTTCTCACGACTCGCAAGTACATTAACTTTGTGTCCTCCAAGGCCCTGGGAGAGGGCCTGGGGAGGAGAGCCACGAATGGCAGGGCCAGCCCCTGCGCCCACCGCTCGCAGGCCTGTCCCGGGGGCCTCCCCAGGTCACACACACCCACGAGCCGCCCTGGTGCGGGGAGAGGCCCGCCGGGGCTGGGGCAGGGCCGGGGCGCGCGGGTTCGCCGTC